GGAGGTTTTGGGTTCGCAGGGAACATACAAGATCAAATATAGAATTTATATGTATCATTGGAAATATGATTCTCCCTTCATTACAGGGCAGGTATATACCATTAATAATCCATTTATTTTACTCAAAAAGGTATCTGACATTCTTAATCCTCCTCATTCTGCCAAAAATGTTTTCTGACATTCTTAATCCTCCTAATTGTGCCAGTCTCAGGTACAAAGATTAGGCAATTAAGTTTTAAAGACTTGTTCCTACTGCTAATAATTCAATTGTTTTTAAATGACATTCTTAATCTTACTTATCAAGTTTGAAACAAAAAGCAAGGGGTATAAATTAGTGGTAGCATCACGTGTCAAGTTTTACAGGAGGTTAATCCAATTTTCTGAATGATGATCTTATGAAATCCTAATTTGCTGATTATCAAATTAATTATTGGTTGCATCACATGTTGACCTCTACAGGAGGTTAATCCATTAAAATCCTAATTTGCCAATTATCACAGTATTACCTGTTTTCATACCCAGATATCATTGAAGGAGATTAATTCTGTTTCCATATATCAATATTGAAATCTATGGAAATTGACTGTTCCACTTAGTAGGTTAATTTTTTTTCAATATGGGGTGTTCACTGTTCAAGTTTGGAGGTGTTCCACTTACAGAGGTTCAATTAACATTAAGTCAACGGGTTTTTAAAACGGGACTTTGAAAAGGTGTTCCACTTGGGAGGTGTTCCACTTACGGAGGTGTTCCACTTAGCAGGTTCTACTATACATTACTTGTGCATGATGACCACCATAGTCTAGTTGCTCAAATGAGATCAATTGATGATTATAATGTTTAGACTTAATGTCAATTTCCAGGCTGTATGCCAACCTCTCTAGTATGTGATTACACTAGATTTCATTATGATACATGTACTAAGTTGAAAACTTACATATAAAATATCTTAAGTCCTATATTCTAGTAATAAATGAATTAGAATGTCACCTAACATTTGATGATGGTATGAATTTATTGATTTGGTGTCTATCAATACATGTTTCTAACTTGATGCTGCAAAATGATAAAATTCACCACATCCACTTTCTTCAATTTTCCAGGGGTAGGGCACCATAAAGTCATATTAAAATTACAAAATAGTACTTCATAACTAAAATAGATGTATTACAATACCACACATAGCTTGGAAAAGTTTTAAGAATACTACTATGAGCTGTTAAAGCTGTCATATTGTGCTTGAAGCTACAAATATAAAATTGGCAAGACAAAAATTGCTTATCTTTTTCCTGTTTTTTGTATTTTTCTGAGACCAATAAGGGTATCAACCTATAACTTTAGGATAGTATTCATATTTGTACTAGCAATGTATGGTGTACAGCTCAGAACAATAACTCATATATCCTTTGAGTTATGAACTAGTTTCATAGTACCCCCTAGAATATTTTCCTAGGGGGGTAAAAATGACAAAATTTAGTGTCGTGACCACCCCGTTGAGCTGTCATCTTTTAATATCTTTATCAGCATGAAAAACTGATCTAGTAAAAATAGGTCTGTTGCTTTTTCTAAAAAATGCCTCAAAAACTTGAATTATTTGAATTGGAACCTGTCTATATGTCACAAGTAACTCAAAATAGGATCTTAATCGAAAATTCCCATTTTCCCGCCGATTTCTTGCCAGATGATTAGATTATCTTCAGAATCTTCAGTCACTTCAATGAAACGCGTTTACTTTTATGGCACTTCTTGTGTCATTCCAACCACACACCAAACAGGGAACAACATTTCATCAATCATCTTTCCTCTTACGTAATCTAATATAACGTTTTACTACGGATTAATTGAGTGCAAGAAGTTATTTTGGATCTTATATAAAGCAAAATGTCTGGTGTCAGCAAAACAAGGGTAGAGTACTTGACTTCACACGAATTCGTGAATTTTTCGGAAATTACTTTTCTTTTTTTATTAAAGTTAGAATCAGATATTACTTTCTCAATTTTGAATACTTTACAGATTTTTATCGTATTTTCATCATATATGTGTTTCTTTTTCTAAAAACGTTGATATCAAGACTGATTACATCTCATTCTGAATCATTTTGAAACATAAGATTTTGGATAAATATAACTAAAAAACGCTGAATTGGTTTGTAATCGTAAATTCTTGTATTGCTTTTCATTTCACTTCAATTATGACGGATCTTTATTACACATGGCATAACCTGAGTAGATATTATTGACCAATTATCACGATACCCGTGGCTCAGAATGAGAAAATCACACCGTTGAAACGAAACACCGTTGTGAGAATTGAACAATTAACTACTACAGTAAAGCCTCTCAAATTGAACACTATTATATTGATGAAAACCTGAGTCACAAAGTCGATATAGAAAATCTACATCGTACTACTTATACATATATTTTATGCTGCATATTTCTCTCGATTTTCGGAAGCTACGACCGCCGTACGGTTGCCGTAGATCAAATGTGACTGAGGCATTACGGGAACATTTCAAGAAGAAAGTTAACCATATATGGGTTTTATTTTTACTTAAGTATGGCCCCCTTCCATGAGCTTACTCTAGAAGGACCATGAGCGTTGCAATTACACAGCCAATATAATTCGGCGCCGTTTCGGCATCAAAAAAATTCGCCGCTGTTCCGGCACCGAAACCTTTCGACACCAAAATTTGGGACCGGACTAGTCAGTCCATTTGGTGCGAAATTTGGCACCAAAATGGCGTCAAAAATCAGACTGCATTTTGGGGGTGTGGGGGAGCTTTTGTATTTTTATTTCATAGTCCGAAATATTATACCCTTTGTGTTCCTTTGCGTTGACTTAGTTTCTTTTGGAAAATGCTTTATCGCTTCATCTACATTAGTTTAAAACTAAAGTGCGCTCGGTGTAGCCGAACTAGAAAACGCCTTTACCGGACTAACTGCCACAATCGACGTTTTCTCTTCGACCAAGCCTCCACGCGAGGTTTATCCTCGTCAGGAATGACCTCTTCAGGAGCACTGGGTTACAGCTATCAATCAGTATTACTATGATTCAATTATAACTTGCAATTTAGAGAAATTTCCAGCAACTGGGAACCTATTAGTATTAGGTACGATATTATTGTCATGATCCATGCCTTCGGTTTTGCGGAATGGCGTCGGAAAAGTGATTAGCCTCTTGCATTCAACGTATACCAAGATTCATTGGTTTCTTTGGCTCAGGTGGGCTATCTCCGCATTCTACGGTCTATTCAGAACTAGGTTATCCCGACCCCGGGTCCCGAGCGCTGAATCATGGGGGGGGGGTAGTGGCCTTCTTTTGTTACTAGTGAAAGAATACGTGAATTCCATATATGCAGGTTACTATTCTATTTTAGAAAAATGCTTTAATGGGGGGGGGGGGAGTCGCATACAATTCACATAAGAATTTTTATTGTGGCTTATTGCAGTGTTGCCCTGCATAGAATAACTTTTTCAGCATTTGATATGTCAAAACGGTAATACATTACAAACGGTATTAAAATATAGTATGTTGCTCAAATATTACAAGATTGTTATGACTGGATGAATATCCCAGTTATTAAATAAAGACTAAAAGCAGTTATTCAAGACAGAAAGTCGTCTTGAAATTTCCTTGCTATCACTTTATTGGAATGAATTCTCTCGTTTTACGTGTTTTACAGATTTGGTCCCAGGTCTCGAGAAACAGGAATCTTGAATTAGCAAAGCTTGATAAACAGGATACATATCGTTGTGCAAATGGCAGATAGATAAATTATTCTAGGAAATTAACATCTTATAAACTTGTTCCACTGTTTCTGTTTCCACACTGCTTTTGCATTAAGGCGTAAGGTCTACGTAAGAATGACAATGTGAACGAACATATTAGGCTAAGTAAATGGAGTAAAAGGGATAAATAGTTGAGAGTACGCTCCAAAAACTATACATATTGAATATAATATGTCAAAATATTTAGACATTAACACAAAGGAACTTCAATATCACAATTTGACATTAAGGTGACAAGGGGACTTCAATATTACAATTTAACTTCAATATCACAATTTGACAAGATTACAAAGTAACTTAAGTAACTTCAATATCATAATTTGACATCAATGTGACAAGAGGACTTCAATATCACAATTTAATACTAAGCTGATAAGTGAACTTCAATATCACAATTTAACATTAAGCTGACAAGAGGACTTCAATATCACAATTTTGACAAGCTTACAAAGTAACTTAAGTTACTTCGATATCATAATTTGACATTAAGGTGACAAGAGGACTTCAATATCACAATTTGACAAGGGAACTCCAAATCCCCAAGTTCAATATTACAAATTGACATTATAATGACACAGGGATAACATTTTGCAGAAACAATAATAATACCACCGTGCGATGACATCGTCAATCAATTCCTATAGACTCTGGTAATCAAATGCTTTTGTTACATCATATATGAAATAAGTAAATTACCTTCTTCACATGTTGCCATATTCTAATTAAGTCAGTATGTAATCTATCCTCGTAGAGCTGATATCAAGGGGACAGTAATGAAATTACTGGTCAATATGTAGAGTGCATTTACGATAATCGATGGCAAAGGTAAATACTGGGGGTACCTGGCTTGAAGGCAAACAATTAAATGTGCAACTTCACATCTTTGCAGAATGGGTGAACAATGTAAGACTCTCTGAATTGCAAAATATCCTGAATATTTAGACCTATCGATCTGTCAATTGACTGGTATATACAACAATAGGCATTGTCGATGTTGCTGTTGAAAGAGGTTGAACCCGAGTGTGACCAACTGAAACTTAAAACGGTTGAAACTTAAAAGACAAAACAGCGAGAAACCAATGAAAATAGCAAGACATTATTTGTGAAAACATGCTTGAACTTTGAAACCCGTCACACGTCATGCATCACTTATAAATTGCTTGTTGGCTGTTTTAATTAATGATTTGAAATAATATTATTGATTATCGTTACCTTTATTGTTTTTCCGGTACTTGTTGTATCAAACGCCATCAGGGGTAATCCTAGTTGGCGACTAATTACTGTTGCTCGCTTCACATGGGAACTTTCCCCTACCACTAATAAAGCCATAAGAGGGTAAGCCTCGATTCTTTTACATACATCTTCGTAAAACAACTCCGGGCTCAGGCTCCAAGGTAAATGGACCAATTCAATGTTGAATGCTTTTCTGTGGAGGTTGTTAATCCTGTCAATGGCGTTTTTCATGATGTAATTGTTAGCGGTAATGTTGAATCCGAGAATGACACCAATCCGAGCAGTTGGGAGAGTGAAGCCAACTTTAAAGACGTTTAGCAACCCTAGAGTGGCAAGCCAAATCACTTGCCATCTCATTGTAGCACCAACGATACACTAAAGTTCATACCTCTAGATCGTTTTCATCTTTTAATAAATAATCCGACGTATTCTGTTTTGAACCCATTTAGGTACACGATACACTAAAGTTCATACCTCTAGATCGTTTTCATCTTTCATCTTTTAATAAATAATCCCACGTATTCTGTTTTGAACCCATTTAGGCACTTACAAATTCCTTCTGTTTTTTTCCATTGAGTTTGTTTTGTAGCTATATCCTAGTTTTTCCAACTACTAAGCAATAAGCAATACCTAATTATTGATGGCTGTTCATCTACCTTCATAACGCGTTGCTATAATTATACGCATGTCATATTCTTATAACTTCGGATTGTTATTGAAAAAATATTCTAAAATACATTATAAGTAATTACAACAGGTTGCGTTTCAGGATCCCAAGTTCAGGTGTACATTCTTTGAGTAATATTACTGTAATATCCATTCCATAGTTCGATGTATGGTCTAACGTTTTTAAGTTTTATCCATTGTTTGCGTTACTCCTTTCCCAGTACAAATCTCGGATGTTTTAATATGTCACCCAGAGCGGCTTGTGTGTTATTAACGAGGTAGGGTTAATATAATTGCGATTTATTTTAGCTAGCAATCGGATAATCCAAAAGTCGCGGATGAACGTTCATATTCCTTGCGTCCTTGTAGGTCTATTGGATATGCGAGCGTAGAACGCCGTATATGATATTGGATCGGATAGCCTTGCTCGACCATAGAGGTTGCATCTATTAAAGATGCGATGCACTCTATACTTTATATTGTTTGTAAGAGAAATTTCTAGAGAATGCATTAACCATTATTGTATTTCTGGCATTTCAAATTTAGCTCGTTTCCTTTTGCGTAACGTGATATTAAAATACGTTTGTTTACTTCAAAAAATGTTAATTGATCATGCTCAGTGCTCAAGAGTTTCTTCATTTCTGGCAATGTTCTTTGAAATAAAACTTTCTCTAGGATTGGTCAAATATTGATCTGGGAAGAGCCCATGATGGAAAGCAAATATGATTTAATGTTTTTCTAGAGATTTGATTGTTGCTCTGAATCCGTACTGCAATAGAAGTTATGATATTTCAATAAGAAGCTATTCTGAATTCGAGCAATTGAATTCTGTGGGAATAAAGTCGATTGTGATTTAGAGGATCCTGGTTTCAAATGATCTAATTGACGCTACTACTGTTTATGTATCTCAACAAACAAAGGTCAATTACCATTTGAGATTGGCAGATTGGAGTAAAAAGTCCCATTGGAATCAGAAACCGTATTTTATTGATAATTGACATACAGTATTTACAAGGTTTAGAGTTCTTACAATGATGCAGTCTGACAGAAATCAACTTATTTTTGGCCGTTCATTCAAAAGACCAATTGTTCTTATCATGTGTACGAGCCATTTGTATTCCTGCCACTACTCATTACATGCGGATGTGTTTTAACTAATCATTTAGAAGCAGTCGGTAATAACGTATAGTATATTACTTGAACTATATACAATTGTAGACCTCTCTTGAGGTTAACTGGCAAAATTGTATACCGATACTGTAAACCTTGCAGGCACTATTGACCGGAGGTCGAGGTCAACAGTAATTTCAAGGTTTAAAGTTGAGGTATACACTTTTGCCAATCTAGTTGCGGTCAAAAGTACCTAACAGCGGTCATCAGTACCGAGTAGCGGTCAACAGTACCTGATAGCGGTCAACAGTACTTATTGCTGACTTTTAATTAACCAATCAGAATTGAGTATTTCAACTGAGGTACTAACAATGAATATAGTCTTGTATGTAGTCGCCGGGTTGGCCTGGTGGTTAAGGCATTGGTCTGAAAAGCAGGAAGTCTGGCTTCAAGCTAAAAAGTAGAGGTCTTGGGTTCAAACCCAGGTCACAGCACTTCTTGTGATTTGCTTTGACCTATGACTGCTGACCTATACCGGCGATTACTAGAGTGCTGCTAACTCGATAAAAGGCTGGCGCTGGCTAGAATTGTCTATGGTTCTAGTCAGGATAAAGATACCAGTTCTTCAACTCGACAATGGGAAGAACTGCTCTACTTAAGTGACTAATATGTCGTGATATGACATCTAAAGAGTCGATAAAAGATATATATACAGGGTGGTCCAAAAAAAATTGGAACATTTGGTAATTGAACGCAAAACCTTTATTTTTTCTCTAAAATGCACCAAAATTTTACTGAGCATAGTTCAGTCACTTATTTATCTGATGTAAAGTTTATAGGTGAAAACCACAAAGTTAATGCATTAAACTAGTCAATGTTTCATAGGACCCCCTTTTCTTAAATATACACTTGTCAATTTTGCCGCTTCTTTTTCAAGTATTCTTTATTTCAAAGCTCTAATGAACATGATGATTGCTATATACATTTTATAAAATCATATTCACTTGACAAGAGGTATTTACATCTCTGGTTTACAAGAAAACTATTTTGTTATTGTCAACTTAATATCCCAAAATCATTATTTTTATTTAAGAGTAGGAAAGAAAGAACATGTCAGAGGTGAGCGATTGCATAACCTGTACAGCCACTAAACTGACAAAATCATTGTTTCCATTTTCAGTAAAAAGGCAAATGACTAGTTATTTACAAGGCTTTATTAGAGAGGCTTTTTAGAGACCAACTCTAAGCACATATAATATATCATTTATTTATGTTCTGGGAGACTCCTTTATGATATTGATATACATATTTTGATATATTCAATGAATATTATTATTATTAGAACGAGAAAGGGGATGGGGCTTCATTTACCAGTCAAAACAGACTGCACTGGTCCTTGTTGAGAATATTCAATCAGTAATACACCCATTAATAGCCATCAAAATATGCTTGATACCCATACATTTTGGTAAACAAATGTTGAATATGTAACTAGATTTGATCTTCCAAGGCAAATATGTAAGAAGTTTGGTCAAGTTGAATTTTTTAATCAAGATTGCTTGGACAAAAACAAACAAACAGCAAAAGGATTAATCATTTCAAAACGGAGTCCCAGGCTTGAAGTTGTAATTCAGGAGAAGAGGGGTCATATCAAACATTGTCTGGTTTAATCCATAAACTTTGTTGTTTTCACCTATAAACTTTACATCAAATAAATGAGTGACTGAACAATACTCAGTAAAATTTTGGTGCATTTTAGAGAAAAAATAAAGGTTTTGCGTTCAATTAACAAATGTTCCAATTTTTTTTGGACCACCCTGTATATATATATATATATATCATGCTCTCCTTTACTCTCTCTGGGATTGATAAGTGAGGGAGCAATATTATATTAGAATTTTAGTTCTATGATCCTCAGGGCATTAGCCTGAAACCTATTTAATGCACAACTTTTAATAGTTTTAGAATTTTGAAATGTTAAGTTTTATTTGGGAATTCCCAACAATGGAGTTCATGAGAAATAAGCCTAAATTATTTTGAAAGTAACATTAGAACGTCAAAAGGAATAAATACTACACGTCGCACGAAACTGGGGACAATTAGCGTAACATTATGGCGTCAAAAAACCAAAACAAAACAATGAGCACTATAGGGCGCAAACAGCATTACAACGTCAAAAACGACAAGCGTCACATTTTTTACAAGTTTACTCAACCTAAAAATAAAATACTTTATCGTTATCTAATCTTTACAAAATTCACAGGGTAGCAAGATCTCGAGGACAATATTTCTAAAATGTTTTTGAATTTTGAAAAACGGTCAAGAAATCCATTTGGGGCGTTAGTAAATATTGATATGTATGGAATTTGTGGTACAAAATCGATGCGTCACATTTTTTCAAGTCTCGAAAACCAGCTCTTATTTTAATATTATTTGCAAAATAGACAACTGGTTATTGTTTTGTAAATTTCGCCATGACAATATTGTGCAGTTAATTTTTCTTTCAAATCAGACCTAAATTAGAAGGTTAAATGAAGGTAAACTTATTGCTCGTCCCATTCGCCTTCAAAACCTTACACAATTTTTAGATTTTTAAAAGCGTTCGTTTTAAGATAATTTGAACTGTAGCCGTCAAGCAATTGTGACGTCATAAATGCACATGTTCGATTGAATAAAATGTGAAATTTTTGTGCGATTTTGATCATTATTTCAAAAGTTATCCCAATTTCAACGAGCCCCGTAAGCGCAAAGTGTTACGTCTTACAGCGTATTTGACGATGTCGGGGTATATTTAACTTTAAAAATATGTAGGATCCCATCAAAATTTTGAAGGAAAAATAATTTCACTGAAATGCAAATAAAAAATACTTCAAAAAGGTATATAAAACACATAGTTAGCTTTTTAAATGAGGCAGAGATTAACGCTCAATGCTGAGATCAGCCCGCATTTCCCGAATTGTCCCCAGGTCCTTGCACGTCATATGATAGTTTTTTAAGAATTCCCCGTTGTGATTTTCGTACAGTGACAAAATATTTTGAACATTCTTTGAAACGGCCCATGTGCTATAATGTTGGAATGCATTTATATGTGCACTTAATTTCACTGGTATTTTAGGTCAGAGTCAATTTCCATTCTCATCTCCTGAGCGTCTCTTAAACAGAACAAATGCTATATGTGTTGTTTTAGTGGAAAAATTAAACTTATTAATTCACTTGGTACCATCTTCCACGGCGACATAAATACGCCTACACCAACCGGATTTTCATCCAATTTTGCAATTGTATATTCTCCTCGAGCAAGCAAAGATACTCCAAGATCTATATTCTACGGCAAATGGGTTTCAAACTAATTAACCGAGTGAAAATATACAAGTGTGCCAATTTTGGGGAATTTTCTTCGTCCTAAATAATACCAAGTAGATCGATCAGCCCATTTTGAAAACACGTGTCTAAAAGCACACGTGTGTACAAAATATTTACAACATTTCCCAGCAGGTGATACTGTCTAAGTGATGTGACGTCAATATGTACTTTATATCAATTATTTTTATCATAATGCACTGACAGTTTAAACGCAACATTCCATATACAGACTTGCCAACCTAAAATGAAAAATTTTCGGGAGATTTAAAAAAAATTGCGGTACTTTTACGGGAGTTTTTTTCAAAATCCGGTAGTTTTTGCGGGAGTTTTTTGAAAAAAACCGGGAGTTTTTACGGGAGATTTTTGAAAAAACGGTAGTTTTTA